AAAAATCAAAGAGTATTTTCTAAAATTCAAGGAGTATACTCCAACTATTTTAACTTTTCGGTCTTCTAGAAGTTTCCAGGACCATGACCTGGATCTGAGTGAAATTCCATGTGAGTTCTCAATGATCTTAGAAAATCTTGTAAATACCTAAATAATTATATTTAAAGTCCTGGTCACAACAAATAAATCAAACTATTCTACTACAAGTTATCTGGGCTCTCCATGCAATAGGCATTATATTTTTATATTCGTGACATAACTATGTATTTATACATTTACTTCAATTTTCACAACGTGCTACTGCTATCATCAAAAATGTTGAAAAAGACTTCACAGAGTTGCTGCAGAATTCTACAAATTCAACATTGATCACCCTCTGGGGAGTCCGGCAATCTTGTGTCGTTATATAAGCTTGGAAGAGTTATCTCCCTTGATAATAAAATTTCATTTTAGAAATTATTCTCATGCCGTGTTGATTCTGTTTTGCCAATCGGAACAGTTCAAGATTCCGCTTAAAACATGTTGTATCAGCCTAATTGATTCAGAGAAAATCAATATATATATAAGATATTTTTTCGTTACAAATACTCTGGGAGCAAAATACAAATATCAAAGGATTTTACATGATCATAAAACAAACTTACAATATACATAATACACCTAGACTGTATTTCTTCAGAAACTTTATAAACTAATAAAGTTGCAATTTAGACTGAACATATTATTAATATACAAACATGTCAGGAAATTAGTTACCATTATCAATCATTCCCAACTTTGAGAATTGATACATCATCCATTTTATTTTTATTTTTATAAAAAATAACAATGACATACCAATAGTAGTGATCTTTCCAACTGCTTGTTATCTGTTTTTTGTTTTTGTGTGCTCCACCTACTTCAAACTAGTGATCCACATCTACTTTAGGGCTCGTCTCCAACCATACCATCCCCATTTGCCACCCAATGCCACCCTGCTCTACCACCCTATGCCCCCTTACATGTGCCACCCAATGCCACCCTGTTTCACCATCCCATGCCACCTCAAATGTGCCACCCAATGTCACTGTTTCGCCTACCTATGCCACCCTCATATTTGCCATCGAATGCCACCCCAGTCACCACCACCCTATGCCACCCTTACATTTACCATTCAATGCCACCCAAAGCCAGCCTGTATCACCACCCTATGCCACACTAAAGAGACGCAGACTCTACACGTCACCTCTGGTGAATTACACATACAGTATCAAACCAGTAAGGTTCACTGTTAGTTATGATATCTCCAACAAATAGAAACCGACAAAATGATTCTCCTAAACCATTCTTGGTCATGTTTAATTTTAACTTGACTGTCTCCATGAAATCAGTTTGACTCGATTGTTTCACTTCAACTCCAGTTCAGTCAAGATTTTAAAGTGTTCCAACTCCTGGAGGCATATTTTGAAATAAACTTTTCATATTTGCGGACAATAACCAGTGGTTGCACACACACAATTATCAGAATTTTTACTTGGGTCTAATTATATTTCAAACTTAAGTTCACACAATATTAACTACACAGTAATCTTAAAAAGTTGATAATAAAATTTCATTTGAGAAATTATTCTCATGCTGTGTTGATTCTGTTTTGCCAATCAGAACAATTCAAGATTCCGCTTAAAACATGTTGTATCAGCCTTATTGATTCAGAGAAAATCAATATATATATATAAGATATTTTTTCGTTATAAAAACTCTGGGAGCAAAATACAAATATCCTAGGATTTTACATGATCATAAAACAAACTTACAATATACATAATACACCTAGACTGTATTTCTTCAGAAACTTTATAAACTAATAAAGTTGCAATTTAGACTGAACATATTATTAATATACAAACATGTCAGGAAATTAGTTACCATTATCAATCATTCCCAACTTTGAGAATTGATACATCATCCATTTTATTTTTATTTTTATATAAAATAACAATGACATACCAATAGTAGTGATCTTTATCTCATTTTCTTCTTTTTTTGTGAAATACAGAAGTTGTATTATCCAATCACATCCATTTACTGTGTTGATATTATGTGCTTCACCTACTTCAAACTAGTGATCCACATTTACTTTAAGGCTCGTCTCCAACCATGCAACCCCATGTGCCACCCAATGCCACCCTGTTTCACCACCCTATGCCACCCTCATATTTGCCATTGATTGCCACCCCAGTCAACACCACCCTATGCCACCCTTACATTTACCATTCAATGCCACCCAAAGCCAGCCTGTATCACCACCCTACGCCACACTTAGCACACTAAAGAGACGCAGACTCTGCACATGTCACCTCTGGTGAATTACACATACAGTATCAAACCAGTTAGGTTCACTGTTAGTTATGATATTTCCAACAAATAGAAACCGACAAAATGATTCTCCTAAACCATTCTTGGTCATGTTTGATTTTAACTTGACTGTCTCCATGAAATCAGTTTGATTGATTGTTTCACTTCAACTCCAGTTCAGTCAAGATTTTATAGTGTTCCAACTCCTGGAGGCATATTTTGAAATAAACTTTTCATATTTGCGGACAATAACTAGTGGTTGCACACACACAATTATCAGAATTTTTACTTGGGTCTAATTTTATTTCAAACTTAAGTTCACACAATATTAACTACACAATAATCTTAAAAAGTTTGCAGTCAAGGTCACTTATCTAACATAGTAATTGTTGATGTGTTATGAATACTTGTCTGTATTCCTGTTCAGACCTGTAGGATTACAACTATGAAACAAATGCATTTCAATACCTATATTTATATTTTGCACTGATGATTGCCATGGTCCAGCTGTTAACATCACAATTATATAACCTTGGATACTATTGATGCTACCTTTAACTCACTTACCCCTGAAGACACATTTTAATTCTTCCAATTCAAAGGTTGGAATAGTTCATTATTAAATTTCAGGGATGAATGAGTTAAAATCACTGTTTTATTCCTTACACATACATACACATACACTTATTTGAAAACAAATGCTGCATTTTGATCAACTGATTTAATCTTCTATGGGATTAAAATATCTTTTTAAATGGTTAATATAAATACTGAACAGTGAACATGAAGGGCAAATGGAAAGGATTAGATCAAGCACCTCAAAGGAATTCATCACTTTCAGTAGACATTCTTATCGATTTTATGAATGTCAAACTGAAGTAGTTCAATGCTGAAAATTTCATGTGAGTTATCTCCCTTGGACCACACAGAGCACAACATGAAAATTTCCTGTGAGTTATCTCCCTTGGACCACACAGAGCACAACATGAAAATTTCCTGTAAGTTATCTCCATTGGACAACACAGAGCACAACATCTTCTGCAGCTTTGCATTCTGATTATCATCCATGTCCAAAAAGTGTTGAGGAATGTTTAAATTCATCTTCTAAGTTTCAGGCAAATACCTAGTGGTATACAGAAGACTTCTTAATGTTAAGTAAAGCAAAATATAAATGAAAGAAGGGAAGCAACTCCTGAATCCAGGTTTCCTTATGAAAGCAAAAAAATACCTTAATATTGCTTCTGTTATTTATATGTTTTTTAGTATTGAAGTTTTATTGCTACCTGGCTTATCATGTAACCCTATGACAATATAATATAACCATTACATAATGTATACTCTACAAAGTCACCAGGGATAAGAGCTGAATTAATTGACATCCATTTACACCTAGACAAGACAGTTTCATACTGACAGGGCCCTCAGATAGAAACTCTTTTCATTCACTATCATCAACAATAAACAGACTTATACAGTACTAGGTGTAATTTACTATTGCTGTTTGTTATGCCTATATCAGGGTCAAAGGAATTTGTATGGTTTGGCCCTTTTTCGGCCCCAAAATCCATCAAAATTAAAAATCTGCGATAGAACTTTCAAACGAATGTTTCTTTAATTTTGAATACTTCCCCAGTCCTATTATGTTAACATTTATTTGTGTTTTCAATTTTGACTGCCATGGTAACCAGATCATATTTGCATAAATTATTGAAATTCGATTTTTCAGTCAATTTTGACAGGTTTTCACCAAGTTTTTCTCTTAGCTACCATAGAGCGCACTCTTGAACAAACTTTATATTTCTCCTAAAGATGTATTACAGGTGCCTACACATTATCCTTTGACATTAAAATTTGTTCAAGCATGCGCTCTATAGTTTACAGGAGAAAAACTATGCAAAATATCACAATATTGACTGAATATTCAAATTTTTCTAATTTATGCAAATTTGAACTTATTACCATGGCAACAATAATTAGAAATATAAATAAATATTTTCATAATAGTATTTGGGAAGTATTCGAAATTAAAGAAACAGTCATTTCAAAGTTCATTTAATGGTTTTGAATTTTGAAGCATTTGGGGGCCAAAACAGGCCCAAACCATATACATAGTCCTTTCAGCCTCTGACAAATTGAAAATAGTGTTAAATATTTCTCAATTTTCTTTGAAATATATGATATAAAATGTTGTTTTTAGTTTTTTGGAACTTATGTTTAGATGGCAATGTAGCATTTAAAATGAAAATCTTTCATAAATAAGGGGTTAATGTCTTAGTAAAAAAATATATTAATTAACACTTTTTGAATAATTCTGAAAGTTCTTGATTAAGACTTCTGACACAGTTTCCTCCCTTTCCAAAGCCAAAGTTATCTCCCTAACGGACCACACAGAGCACAAAATATTGTGCAGTTTTGCTTTGATCCAGGATGTCAACAGATACACACATGAGCTTAACATCCATAAATCCAAGGTAGTATATTTTTCTAAAACCACAGGTCCCGTTTCTACTGAAGTGTAAACAAATCCTGAAATTTGATGATCATGATGACAAGCTAAGCTGCAGCCTACAGATTTGAGATGTTCTTACCTGGGCGACAGCTGCCATTGAGGTAGACTTATTTGTTCTGTAACATTAAGTTACCACTACTGACTAGTATGTATTTACCTGCCAAATTTAGAATGAACACATCCGTTTGTACCGTCTATATGTTTGGGGAAATAAGATCCTGTCGTAGATTCAAAAGACATGGCATCTAGATAGTTAGAGGTGAGAGAGCCAGTCATTTCGTTTTTCTCTGAAAAGAAAAGAAAAATAATTTCGTAAAGGAATAAAAAAAATTACAATCTTATTTTAGAAATCCTTTTCTATATAGTGGGTAACATAAAAATTAATACCTAAAATGGGCAGTATCTTTAACATAAAAGACACCCATATATATATAATATAATAATAATAATAATATAATCATCTTTATTTAACGTCATGTACAATTGTCACAACAAACATAAGCTCTGTAGAGCTTTTATTACGACGCCGCTAAGGGAACAAATGGTGTTTTCGTGGTAGGGGAAAACCCACGGGGGGAAAACCACCGTGCCATCGGAGGGATAACAACTAACCCTATCAGACATCACTCTCTTTTTTCCACCACCGCTGGGGATCGAACCGAAATTCATGGGAGAGAGTGGTCTGAAGCTCAAGCCTGATAGCACACAGTAGTACATTGACTGTGCGCGTTAACAATCACGTCTACCGGTCAGTACCATTTAGAAGTAGAAGAAGTACCGAGGCACCTGGTGACTCGGTAGCCATGATCGTTAACGCGCACAATATGTACATTTAAATTGACAATTTGTTGCACCATTATCGACGTTACAATATAATGTCATTCAAGAGACAGTAGGAAAGTGAGATGGGGACACTGGGAGAGGAAACGGATCATTCTTTATTCATCACCGCCTGAAGATGCTTCCAAACAAATATGGCAGATATCCATCACATTGTTTCAGAAGAAAATCACTTAATACAGCTAAAATACCACCTTTTTGCCCGTCCTGTCAGTGGTTTGAGCCCTTCCCTTGTAAATGTATTATATCCTACTGAAAATGCTTCTTACTAAATATTGTTAATATCCATCACATTATAGTTCTAGAAGAGCAGTTTCTTAGAGAATTATATCAATCGAAAACATTATCAATAATGATAATTTGAATGTATACAGTATTTTATATAAAATCATATGAACATCCAAGTGGCTAAAACCGGAGATGCTGAATATAAACAAAATTAATTCTGATGCAATTTTTTTTTTTCAAGTCCACACAATTTATTAAGTTTGAAAGACCCAGCACTCTGTGTTGTATCTCTAATGAAGAAAAGTTCACATTTGTGTGACAGTTTCCTGACTTTGGAATTGCTAGCCCATTTTCTATAGCAAACAGTTATGTGTACAAATGAATACATTTATGTTACACATTCTGCCGGTCAGGATATTTGTTACAGATATATGTTCTACTTTCTGTAAAAATACTAAAATGCCCTAAAAAGGCTCAAATATTAACCGTTTTTTCATGAATAAAAAAGAAATAACATGAAACTTAACAAAAAATCTCAAGTCTTGTAAGCAGCAAAAAGTGGTGGGACTCTACCTAGCTGAAATCCACTAAGTATTCGTTTTAATTTTAATCCAATTCAACTAATGAATAATGACACTATATATATATATACCTTATGTCATTGGTACATAATTAAATAACGTTAAAATCAAACTCTGGTGTTAATGAGCTTAATGACTGAATGGTTACAACAAATTAGTTGTAGCAATGAAGGGTAAACAATGTTAAAATTAAACTCCCATATGTCCATGAGCTAGCTCGATGACAGCATATTGATAACAAATTATAGTTGCAGTAAATACCATCACACAGAAAATGTAAATGGAGGGGAGGTAACTCTTTCAGGCTTTGTGTCAAATTTCATATTGTAAATCAGGGTCAAATAGAGGAAATAGAGAATACGTTTAAACCGCTGATAAATGACATCTGATTAGTGTGAAAACTATCTTGAATAGCCTCTTAAATAGAACCTAGCAGTTAAATAAAATTCCTAATTTTGTGAACACTGAGTATTTCCCAAGTTTTTCCACTAATTTTGGATACATTTCTGATAAAACAACTAAGATGTCTGAGCAAAATAACTTTTTAAGGTTTTGATATTCTTTATTTTTACAAATTTTTGTAGTCATTTTTCTGCAAATGTTTTCTATTACATAAACAAATGTAGGAATATACATGTAGAATTTAAAATGTATTTCATTAATGAATTATACTGACCTCACTTGTTTTCACATGAAAAAATAATTTGATGGAAAAAACGTAGAATTTAAAATTGCCTTTGTTTACAGTTGATTAAACTTACCATTATTTTGAATGTTGTCTTCATCACAGTCATAGAACTCATCATCGTCCGTGTCGTAATAGCGTGCTGGAGATTTACGTCCTGTGAATGTGAGGGACTGTTCCAGTTCATGGTGTTCCGTAGCCAGGGCATGCAGCGCCTCCTGGAGGACGCGCGACTTCTCCATCTCCTCCTTCAGCTGGAGGTTACGCACCTGTCAACAGCAATGTTTAACTTATTATAATGACCCCCTACGTAACACTGTAATAAAAAGATACCTATATAACACCCTACCTATATAACACCTTACCTATATAACACCTTACCTATATCACACCTTACCTATATAACACCTTACCTACCTTCCCTATATAACACATTACCTTTATAACACCTTACCTATATAACACCCTACCCACCTATATAACACCTTACCTATCTAACGCCGTACCTATATAACACCTTACCTATATTACACCTTGCCTATATAACACCTAACCTATATAACACCTCACATACCTTACCTATATAACACATTACCTTTATAACACCTTACCTATATAACACCCTACCTATATCACACCTTACCTATATAACACCTTACCTACCTTACCTATATAACACATTACCTTTATAACACCTTACCTATATAACACCTTACCTATCTAACGCCGTACCTATATAACACCTTACCTATATCACACCTTACCTATATAACACCTTACCTATCTAACACCTTACCTATATAACATCTTACCTATATAACAAACTACCTATATAACACCTTACCTATATAACAACGTACCTATATAACACCTTACCTATATAACACCTTACCTATATACCATCTTACCTATATAGCAACCTACTTATATAACACCTTACCTATATAACACCTTTCCTATATAGCAACCTACCTATATAACACCTTTCCTATTTAACACCTTACCTATGTAACACCTTACCGATATAACAACCTACCTATATAACCCCTTACCTATATAACACCTTACCTATATACCTCCTTACCTATATAACACCTTGCCTATATAACACCTTACCTATATAACACCTTGCCTATATAACATCTTACCTATATAACACCTTACCTATATAACTCCTTACCTATATAACATCTTACCTATATAACATCTTACCTATACAACACCTTACCTATATAACACCTTACCTATATTACACCTTACCTATATAACACCTTACCTACCTTACCTATATAACACATTACCTTTATAACACCTTACCTATATAACACCTTGCCTATATAACACCTTACCTATATACCACCTTACCTATATAACCCCTTGCCTATATAACACCTTACCTATATAACACCTTACATATATACCACCTTACCTATATAACACCTTACCTATATAACACCTTGCCTATATAACACCTTACCTATATAACCCCTTACCTATATAACACCTTACCTATATAACGCCTTACCTATCTAACACCGTACCTATATAACTCCTTACCTATATAACACCCTACCTACCTATATAACACCTTACCTATCTAACACCGTACCTATATAACACCTTACCTATATAACACCCTACCTACCTATATAACACCTTGCCTATCTAACACCTTACCTATAATACACCTTACCTATATAACACCTTACCTATATTACACCTTACCTAAATAACACCTTACCTATATAACATCTTACCTATATAACATCTTACCTATATAACAACCTTCCTATATAGCACCTTACCTATATAACACCTTACCTATCTAACACCTTACCTATAATACACCTTACCTATATAACACCTTACCTATATTACACCTTACCTATATAACACCTTACCTATATTACACCTTACCTAAATAACACCTTACCTATATAACACCTTACCTAAATAACACCTTACCTATATAACACCTTACCTAAATAACACCTTACCTATATAACATCTTACCTATATAACACCTTACCTATATAACACCTTACCTATATAGCAACCTACCTATATAACACCTTACCTATTTAACACCTTACCTATGTAACACCTTACCTATATAACAACCTACCTATATAACACCTTACCTATATAACACCTTACCTATATAACATCTTACCTATATAACAACCTACCTATATAACACCTTACCTATATAACACCTTACCTATATAACACCTTACCTATATAACACCTTACCTATATAACAACCTACTTATATAACACCTTACCTATATAACACCTTTCCTATATAACACCTTACCTATATAACACCTTACCTATATAACATCTTACCTATATAACACCTTACCTATATAACACCTTACCTATATAACACCTTACCTAACCTATATAACACCTTACCTATATATAACACCTTACCTATATAACACCATATAACACCTTACCTATATAACACCTTACCTATATAACACCCTACACCCCACTATTGTTAATTACTGATGGTATCAGCCATGTCAAAACAGAGGTCGGGTGGTGAAGTAGAAAGCACACTCGCCTCTCACCAAGAAGACCAGAGTCTGGTTTCCAGATCAGGCGTGAAAATAAATGCGTTTGTCCCATTGGTTTTCTTCAGGCACTCTGGTTTCCTCCCACATTAAGACCCAACTGGGCAAACAAGAATGATAAATATAAGTTGATGAAACTTGATTCATGCTTGTTGTAAAAGGAATGGTTTATATTTTCTGTCAAATTGAAGGCAATATCAGATACTTAAAAGCATTATTGACAAAAATATGCTCTTTTGTCTTAAATTAGTAATGTCTGCAACAGCTAGGTTTTAAAAGGCTATTAAGGATAAAAACATTGCACAGGTAACCTTGACCTTTGAACTTTGAATAATAGTCCCCAACCAGTTGTTTGGGTAAATATCATATCCTTTAGTATCAAAGTTTTTCTTTCTACACAAACAATGTACGTATTAAACGTGTCGCAACATTTCGAGACCGACTGGTCCCTTTGTCATGCTGTAACTACTATTGAATACATTGTGTCCCTTCGTTTTTTAAGTGCAACTGATAAAAGCTACACATTTTAAGTTCTAAGTAACTTCTGTCTGACCTCTTAAATGACAAGGATAAGATATGTGTCCTCTGTGTTTCTTACCTACATGACGTATCAAGCTCATTAATGTAAACACACTTCTGGCCATCAGAAATTACTTCATTGCTTCTTTGGCTATTCGACCGCATATTCAAAACATTGATAGACTAACAGATATATTTAGTTTACTTGTATCATTGGATGTCCTTACAACTCAATCAACTACTGACCAACCCTTTAACTTCAAATCAATTAAGTCGCCAACAATGGCTAGCCCTTTAACTTTAGAACTGTCACCACCTTCATTGGCTAATACAGGTCTCCATCATCCGACCAGCCCCCTTTAACTTTAAACCAGTCACTACTCTAATTGCCAACAATGACTAGCCCCCTTTAATTTTCAAACCAATCACCTCCCTTATTGCCAACAATGACTAGGCCTTTTGACTTTCAAACCAGTCAACATCTTTTTTTGCCAACAACAACCACCCTCCTTTAATTCTCAAACCAATCATCACCTCTGATTGTCAGCAACGACTATCCCCTTTATCTTTCAAACCAATCACCACCCTCATTGCCAACAATGACCAGCTCTTTTAACTTTCAAACCAGTCACCACCCTCATTGCCAACAATGACCAACTTCCTTTAATTCTCAAACCTGTCACTACCCTCATTGCCAAAAATGACCAGCTCTTTTAACTTTCAAACCAGTCACCACCCTCATTGCCAACAATGACCAGCCCTTTTCACTTTCAAACCAATCCCACCCTTATTGCCAACAATGACCAACTTCCTTTAATTTTCAAACCTGTCACTACCCTCATTGCCAAAAATGACCAGCCCTTTTAACTTTCAAACTTGTCACCATCCTCATTGCCAACAATTGGTAGCCCCCTTCAAACTTTCAAACCAATTCATAATCCCTATTTATAATTGTCATATCATCTGACTAATTCCTTTGTCATCATAATTATTGCATTTGAAGTCCAACACCTGACCTTAAACGTTAAACCTGAGTCACCTTTGACCTTTATTGCCCTAGATTAACATAGACTATTGCAACTGTCACTCACATCCATTTTCACTCCATAGCTTGATTGATTATTTTATGGAGAATTCATTGTTAAGTGATTCGGCCTTATGGCGGACTATATTGATTTTCTTTTCTGTTTTCAACTGACAAAAGAGAAACATTGATTTTCTTTGATCAATGTAAGTGATAAGATTACAATTCTATGGAAGATTTCTGCCCTGCAAACAAGAGGCCTAACAGGCCTGTCGCGCTACTTGTTATTCAATAATGTCAGTAACTTTTTGGTTATGAAAATGTTGTTCAGTCTGGCATTAACACATTTGACCCCTGCGAACTAAAAATTGAATCAAGGTTATTTATATCAACAAAATTGGCAGCTCATCATTCCAGCATGCTATTGACCAGTTATTATGACCCTAAGCATTTTGGTTATTCAGAAAAAAAAGTTATTAAACTTTTAACATATTTGACCAAGGTACCTTGAAAGTAGGTCTAGGTCATTCATTTGAATGTGATTTGAATCCAATCCAGCATGCTACAGGCAATAGGTGTCCTGGTTAATAAGAAAATGTTTTGAAAATAGTTGGTGACGGAGGACTGACAGAAAGACACCACACCAATGGTATAAGCTTCTCACTCGCTATTCAGTTAGTTGAGCTTGTGTTTGTGAATGTGTATTTCTCCAAAACAGCTCTAGTTGATTATTATTCCACATATCCAATGAGGGAGAAAGAGCATGAAATGCTACTGAAACGGCTTTGCTCAATTTATCTTTCCTTATTTATCGATCAAAATAACTCCAAAAAGCATTCATTTGATTCAGACACACCTGTTAAGATTATTACACACACTCTGAAGTAACTAGGAGATAATTTGACCACAGGCTTTGAGTTTGTGTGAGTTTGGACCTGAATGAGGGAGTTTCGAGGGAGATTGGTAAATTTTGGTCAAAAAGGGGGAGGCTCCCTCCTAATGATGATTGACAGCCATGGTTCAGTTATGTGTCATGTGATAAACACAATAAATGTTTGTGACAGTGCCACCCCCATAATGTGTCTCAGGTCTCAATGATGATGTCATAGAAATCTCACCTATTATTCAAAGTTTTGTCAGGACC